TTTTTTTTTTTTTTTTTTTTTTTTTGTGTGTGTGTGTGTGTGTGTGTGTGTGTATTGAACGTCAGACAGGGGCCCTCTACTATAGGCATGGATAAGAGCCCATGCTTGTAGTAGGGGTCCCTGGGGTTGATGGCTCCATTCTTATTTGTGAGGAGCAGCATGTGCTGAGAACTGGGCCCAGTGTCCCATCACAGGTTACTTCTTGGTTCCTCTGTAGGAACTGTTTCCCCACAACTTCGACTACGCCGCCTGTTTTATGATTGTGATCAAAGTACTGTGCAGTACGAGCTTGAAGTCGTTTTATTGTACATTAACCATACTTGGATCTGGGGTTTGTATGCTTGCATCTGTCCGCAATTCCTTCCAGAAATAAGTAAAAAGTGCTATGTCCTAATTGGACAAATTTCCATGCATGCCCTTTGCCCTTTGGTCCTACAAATCAGTGATGGGTTGACATGCTGCCGCCCTGGCCAACCCTTCCCTTTTCTTGGCCTGCGCTCACTGCTGCGGAAACAACACAGAATGCACGTCTCTTTCTTTTCTTTTCGTTTTTTTTTTGTGTGGCGGGGGGGGGGGGGGGGGGGGGGGGGGGGGGGGGGGGTGTGGGAATCATGTCTCTGGACGAGTTTGGCTCATATCCTAGGTTGTTTTTCCGGGCGCCCAGGCACCCAACTTCTGCCCAGATTCATGCTCGGTTGCCTGGCTGGGCATGACCCCCGGGCAGGGTTCCGTGCAGCCCCAGCGCAAAAATAAAAAGTGAAAGAAATTCAGAATATGCTGGAAAAAAAGATGGTGTGTAGATTTGCAATGCAAACACACACAAATCAGAAAATATTCATTTTTCTAAATTCTTTTTTATTTATTCTTATATAAGAAAAGAGCAATACTTCTTTTCTTCTATGACAATGGGATTGTAGTTCTAAAAAGAATCAGACTAAGGTAATCCCCTTTAAAGCCAATTTATACCACCCTTACACCCCTTTGACAGCCGACACTCAAAAAAAGGAAAGAGCCTGGATTTGGGCTCCTCCGCAAATGGATACAGCCAAAACAGAAAAAAAAAAAAAAAAAAAAAAAGAGAGAGACCACACTATTTTACTTGCCCGAACATTCTGGAGGGCGACATTCCGGTCACTCATCACGGGCAAGCATGAACAAATGTAGAGAGTAGAAGAAAGAACAGCTCTTCCCTGGTGCTAGTCACCCCGGGCAGTGAACTGTTGTTGCGTGGCGAGAAGGGGACAGCAAGACTTTCGTATGTTTGGGTCCCTCTAGCCAGGAGACGTTCGGCACACCTGGACGCTCAGGAGGGCCCAAGCCTTGATCGTCGTTCCCTCAGCCATGCAACAATGTTTCCGCCATTCAGGGATTGCCACACTCTATGTTGTGGCCACATCAATTCTCCACCCTTATTCAGCTTCCATATGCAGCCCCATACCTCCACTTAGCTTACCACATCC